ATTGTCCATACTGTTCTTGAACATCATCGTCCTTCTGATACATTTCTTCTGAACATTACTCACATAAAGATTCCTAATGTGATTCTTCCACAAATCCACATCAATTTGTTTGTACCACTCATAGTTTTTCGGGTAATTTTGCACTTATCATGCGATGGGTTTTTTTTCGAAATTGTTTTTTGGTACTTACGTATTTTTGTCTGAAATACACGTATTTGATAATGAAAATGTGAACAAACCACTATTTATCGAGATATTTGAAGAAAAAGTTCGAAATTTTGCCTTCTTTTTCCCCTTGTCTTGGATGCATTTACAGGTACCTACTTGCTTTTATTTTGTCATTGGACACTTTCTATATTCATATGATATACTTCAATGACACATTTTAAGATAGAAAATTCAACAGGAAATATGATTTGTATGGCGAGTTTTTCCTATTTAGTGAGCAAGCGTACCAGATGACGGCCATTTATTCAATAGTCAATCCTAGAGTCACTGGATGTTATTAGTTTGATAAGAGTTCGGACACAGAAATGACAACGGTTAGGGTTTTTGAATGTTTAGATTTATTAAGTTTCACACCTTGCATTGTGACAAGAGCACCATAGTCGTCCCGCGCTTTTTCATTCGAAATTGTTTGAATTTGACAATACATTATTTTATAAACGTCAGAATTGAAATAAAATTTCATAATTATACATTCGAGATGAAAGCAGCTATGGAAATTACTTGCTGTGTGATAAATTGTGCCAATTCTGAAGAAAATGGATATTATTTATTCAATTTTCCGAAACAAATATCAACCAGTCGCTTATGGAAGGAAGATATGAAATGGACTGATGCCTGATGGGTGCAAAATCAATTTGAAGACAAATTTGTGAGGTACTCATTAAAATTCACTTTTTATAACAGCATCTGATTAAAATGAAACTATATTTTAGGCCCATCTTCAAACAGAAGATTTCAAAATCTGTTTGTGAGAATCTGCTGTTCCATCAATAATTTACAAAGCAAGCAATATCGAGAACAAAATTCCATTATTATCATCACACAAAATACAAAACTAGATGATCATGGAAAAGAGGAAATGATCGCAAAATTACATAATGAAATTGAGAATTTGTAAACGAAACTAAGAAGAGCAAGTAAACTACAGAGTGATATATTATTGAATGGCGTTTTTGGTTCCGACCAAATTTAAAATTTAACAGTGAAAAGTGAATAGTTATTTATGTATCAAGGGAATTATTATGAGGGCCTCAATTACGCTGGAGGTTAATGTTTTGGAGATATGTTCTATATCGATCCATGTTACTTATTAGCTCCTAGGGCGCTAAGTGGAGTTGCTGAGAACTTTACAAAACCAAGTATTTGGTAGGTCTCGTCAAAATAAACTACTTTTTTCCTATCAAATGTTTATTGAAAAATGATTTGTTCTCTGTATTTCAGCACTCTGTATCTACAAAATGGAGCATTTCCGGACACAAAAGCTTATATAGACTCTATTTCTTATAATTGTCTCAGGAATACTTCACTTGAAAGTACTTATCTTACTTCCTGTATATTGAGAATATCTACCTTCAATATAATATAAATAACTTCATGTTCTATACTCATCACTGGAGTACAGTTTGACATATAATAATAGCTATAAGTTCATCCATATGTGTATATTTCTTAATATTAAAATGTTGTTACATGCATTCTTTTCATTTATATAAGGTGCGTTCGGTTATAACATATCTGTTAGCTCGATTCCATCTGTTAGCTCGGAAAGCGTTCGATAAATCAGATCTACTTCCTCTGTCTAATCTGCTCCGTGTTCGTTAATTGTCAGAGCGAGCTGAAAGATGTAATCTGTTTGCTCCGCCTTGAGGAGCAGATCATTCAGATTTGATCGGTTATTCGGTTGTCAATTGTCAACAAATCAATGTCAACAACATGTTATTGAAATTATATCTCTTTTATGTCGAAAAATTGAAGACTCGATCAACTGGAAACGAAACACGAAACTGAATTTTGTAGAATCCTCCTTGCCCAGAATCGCCAGAATGACCGACGAATTTGCTGTAGGTAGCATATTAATTATATATCTGTAATATATGCGATCACAACTGCCCTGGATCCACAGTTAATGACCGATCATATGAGACAGAATCATTCCTTCCCTAGTAATTTTCAAAATATAAATAACAAACTTTCAAGTTTCTGTTTTCTGTTACTTCTGACAGCTGGCGCTCGCAATCTACTACCTCGTTGAGCGTTCGTTAAATACCATTAGCTCTATCTGCTAGGTGATCACGTGACACCAAATCTGCATCTGCTCGCTCGGCTCCGATTTTGTTAAACCGAACGCACCTATAACAGTTGGTTCTGATGTTAGAAGTGTATCACTATAAATTGAAGTGGGTGTTTGTACCCTATACCCATTGTCCATCTACGGCTATGATTGATTTGACAGAAAATATAACCTCTGAAATCGTATCTGACAATCAGGCACTACTAGGGAAATTGAAAAGACAAAGAGGAGAATATATGTCTTATTCTTTTATTCACCTAAACCATTGTATTATAGAAAATAGAAAAGGACAAAAGTTTCCGAACTCTTATCAAACTAATACCATCCAGTGACTCTAGTCAATCCAAATACGAGATGTCAAATGTCTATAGAGTGCTTTGGAATGACATTACACAAGCCATTATTTTAATTGATATTCTTCCTTATTTTCACCAAATATGGATAAATCTCAAGGAAATCATATTTCTAGTTGTCTCATATAATGAAAAATATATGTCCAACATTGTGTGATATATATACATTGTCCAATGATGGAAAAAGAAGAGCAAATTGTTCTAAATGTGATCCAGAAGACAGGCGGAAAAGCAGGGGAAATTTGTAACTTTATAGTGAAATATCTTAATAAATAATGGTTTGTTCAGACAAAAATACGTAAGTACCAAAAAAAAATTTCGAAAAAAAAACCATCACATGATAAGTGCAAAATTACCGTTTTTATTTTTTCAACTGAAAAGCTATTCATGTAGGTACTCTTCGCTGTACATATAGGTACCTACCTGAAATTTTCAAGTACAGTGATTCCGATGTGTACATGGTTTACATCACTATAAAGACATGTTTTCACTGCAAATAACGGAATTTCATGAATTATATATAGTAACTAATCAAAAATATAGAACTAAATAAGCAGCCCCTACTTTTCTGCTTCGCTTGCATGTCGAAAAAGTGTAACAGCACTGATGAGTTTCCGAAGTTTCCACAATTCCAACTTAAATTCAAGTTGCATCATAATTCAACCTAATCCAGCATTGCCTAAACATCTTCCTGCTTCCTTTCAAGTATAGGTAGATGGTTTCCATACTTGATAATATCTTTCGTGATAATGTTTCATTTTCGGGTTTCAACATGACAGATTTTTATCTACAAACAAAAAATGAATAACTTAGTTTACTCAGTTCACGTAGATGTCTCTGGACTACATATTTTCTTAATTTTTCTTTTCAATGAACAGACAATATTTTAGCAAATACAACTGGACTATGCAAATAAAAACTTTTTTTGAATATGCTGATTCACCCATGAATTAATATATCGAATATTGAAACAACAGACCTCAGAAAAATCAAAAAACAACTTCTCAATACTTTCGAAGAGAAGCTAAGACATGAAGACAGATCTTTGGCAATGCGATCCTCCTTTTTAAATTTCTACCCGGAACTGACAGACAACTCACGACAGTACCTCAATTTGAGAATACAAATACAGATAACCAGAACCATAGCACAAATCAGACTATCAAATAAATACATGTTGAAACTGACTTTCCATGGTAACACATACCATATCAATCCGAGAGAGTTCTGCACCATTTGTAATCAACAAAGATATGAGACGATTGGACATATCCTCTTTGAATGTCCGATCTATACCTCTATGAAACCTCCGAACGTCAAATACCTCTCCAACATGGAAACTTTGTTAACGTTCTCAATAATATAACGTCAACAATAGGAAAAACTATCTATAACCATATGTACAACATCATGAAATTGAGATCTTTCATCTTAAATGAGTGAATTATTGTAAATGACTGCCAAACATTATTATCGCAATCATAATGCCAATCATTCCTATAGATTATCTCTCTGTAGAACAATGTATTTTTGTTTTTATTCTTGCTAATCCTTAGTTCGCTACACACTTGAATATCAATGTTTTCATATCTATCTTTGTTTATTTTTTGATATTACTTCAAATCATGTACCTGAACCCTTGTTAAAAACTGTCAAGTTTGAAGAACAATAAAGAATCTATCTATCTATCTATGAACAGACAATATTTTAGCTCCTGCCTACTTACTATCTTACTAGGTTGTCATCTAGAACGACAATGGTAGAACTGTACGGAGGAAAGAAAACAGGTGGATGCACCTCCATATCGGAGGTCTGACCAATCGAAAAGTGTACCACCATTGTCGTCACTCTATTTATAGTCATTCTGGACTCAATATAATCGACAACTTCTCGTTACAGAATGAAATCCATCCATTTGACGTTGGCAGCATTGACGCTGGCCACTCTGTGCAACGTTGCCTTCCCTCGGCCAGCCTATCCACACCAAAACGCGTCAAGTCCAGTGGACGATGGCCGATGCCGATGCCGAGCCAATGGATCGCACGGAGCCGACGGAGTCAACGGAGTTGATGGAAGCGATGGGGCTGACGGAGCTGACGGAGCAAACGGTGCCGATGGGGCAGACGGATCCGATGGGGCGGCCGGAGCCGATGGGGCGGACGGGGCCGATGGGGCGGACGGAGCCGATGGAGCGGCCGGAGCCGATGGAGCGGCCGGAGCTGATGGAGCGCATGGTGCCAATGGAGCAAACGGTGCCGATGGAGCAAACGGTGCCGCTGGGGCACGCGGGGCCGATGGAGCGCACGGAGCTGATGGAGTGAACGGAGCTGATGGAGCAGTCGGAGCCGATGGAGCGCACGGAGCTGATGGAGCAAACGGAGCCAATGGAGCAAACGGAGATGATGGAGCAAACGGAGCCGATGGAGCCCATGGAGCCGACGGTGCGCACGGGGCAGATGGTGCAAACGGGGCCGATGGAGCAAACGGAGCCGATGGAGCGAACGGAGCCGATGGAGCGCAAGGAGCAGCTGGAGCAAACGGGGCCGATGGAGCGCACGGATCCGATGGAGCAAACGGAGCCGATGGGGCAGTTGGACACGACGGAGCGAACGGAGCCGATGGAGCGCAGGGAGCAGCTGGAGCAAACGGGGCCGATGGAGCGCACGGAGCTGATGGAGCAAACGGAGCCGATGGGGCAGTTGGACACGACGGAGCGAACGGAGCCGATGGAGCGCAGGGAGCTGATGGAGCGCACGGAGCAGATGGAGCGAACGGAGCTGATGGAGCGAACGGAGCCGATGGGGCAGTTGGACACGACGGAGCGAACGGAGCCGATGGAGCGCAGGGAGCAGCTGGAGCAAACGGGGCCGATGGAGCACACGGAGCCGATGGAGCAAACGGGGCCGATGGGGCAGTTGGACACGACGGAGCGGTCGGAGCTGATGGAGCGCAAGGAGCAGATGGAGCAAACGGAGCCAATGGAGCGCACGGAGCCGATGGTGCGAACGGGGCTGATGGAGCAGTCGGACACGATGGAGCGGTTGGAGCTGATGGAGCAAACGGGGCCATTGGGGCAGTTGGACACGACGGAGCGGTCGGAGCTGATGGAGCGCATGGAGCTGATGGAGCGCACGGAGCCGATGGAGCAAACGGGGCTGATGGAGCAAGCGGGGCCGATGGAGCGCACGGAGCTGATGGAGCAAACGGGGCCAATGGAGCGCACGGAGCCGATGGAGCGAACGGGGCTAGTGGAGCAGTCGGACACGACGGAGCGGTCGGAGCTGATGGAGCGCACGGAGCAGATGGAGCTAACGGAGCTGGTGGAGCAAACGGGGCCGATGGAGCGCACGGAGCAGATGGAGCAAACGGGGCCGATGGGGCAGTTGGACACGACGGAGCGGTCGGAGCTGATGGAGCGCATGGGGCTGATGGAGCAAACGGAGCCAATGGAGCACACGGTGCCAATGGAGCGAACGGGGCTGATGGAGCAGTCGGACACGACGGAGCGGTCGGAGCTGATGGAGCGCACGGCGCAGATGGAGCGAACGGAGCTGATGGAGCAAAAGGGGCCAATGGGGCGCACGGAGCCAATGGAGCAAACGGGGCCGATGGGGCAGTTGGACACGACGGAGCAGTCGGGGCTGATGGAGCGCATGGAGCCGATGGAGCAAACGGAGCCAATGGAGCACACGGTGCCAATGGAGCGATCGGGGCTGATGGTGCAGTCGGACACGACGGAGCGGTCGGAGCAGATGGAGCGAACGGAGCAGATGGAGCGAACGGAGCTGATGGAGCAAAAGGGGCCGATGGGGCGCACGGAGCCTATGGAGCAAACGGGGCCGATGGGGCAGTTGGACACGACGGAGCGGTCGGGGCTGATGGAGCGCTTGGAGCCGATGGAGCAAACGGAGCCAATGGAGCAAACGGTGCCAATGGAGCGAATGGGGCTGATGGTGCAGTCGGACACGACGGAGCGGTCGGAGCAGATGGAGCGAACGGAGCCGATGGAGCAAACGGAGCTGATGGAGCGCAAGGAGCAGCTGGAGCAGACGGGGCCGATGGAGCGCACGGAGCCGATGGAGCAAACGGGGCTGATGGGGCAGTCGGACACGACGGAGCGGTTGGAGCAGATGGAGCGCTTGGAGCCGATGGATCAAACGGAGCCAATGGAGCGCACGGAGCCGATGGAGCGAACGGGGCTAATGGAGCTGTCGGACACGACGGAGCGGTCGGAGCTGATGGAGCGCACGGAGCAGATGGAGCGAACGGAGCTGATGGAGCTAACGGGGCCGATGGGGCAGTCGGTCACGACGGAGCGGTCGGAGCAGATGGAGCGAACGGAGCCGATGGAGCGAACGGATCCGATGGAGCGCAAGGAGCAGCCGGAGCAAACGGGGCCGATGGAGCAAACGGGGCTGATGGAGCAGTCGGACACGACGGAGCGGTCGGAGCTGATGGAGCGCACGGAGCAGATGGAGCGAACGGAGCTGATGGAGCAAACGGGGCCAATGGGGCAGTTGGTCACGACGGAGCGGTCGGAGCAGATGGAGCGAACGGAGCCGATGGAGCGAACGGATTCGATGGAGCGGTCGGAGCCGATGGAGCCCACGGAGCCGATGGGACAAACGGGGCTGATGGAGCAGTTGGACACGACGGAGCGGTCGGAGCTGATGGAGCGTATGGAGCCGATGGATCAAACGGAGCCAATGGAGCGCACGGAGCCGATGGAGCGAACGGGGCTGATGGAGCAGTCGGACACGACGGAGCGGTCGGAGCGAATGGAGCGCACGGAGTAGATGGATCAAACGGAGCCGATGGAGCAGTTGGACACGACGGAGCGGTTGGAGCCGATGGAGCGCACGGAGCTGATGGATCAAACGGAGCCGATGGAGCAAACGGGGCTGATGGGGCAGGTGGACACGACGGAGCGGTCGGAGCTGATGGATCGAATGGAGCCGACGGAGCGCACGGAGCCGATGGAGCGAACGGGGCCGATGGAGCAGTTGGACACGACGGAGCGGTCGGAGCAGATGGATCGCACGGAGCAGATGGATCAAATGGAGCCGATGGAGCGCGCGGAGCCGATGGAGCGCACGGAACAGATGGATTGAACGGAGCCGATGGAGCAGTTGGCCACGACGGAGCGGTCGGAGCAGATGGAGCGCACGGAGCCGATGGTGCAGTCGGACACGACGGAGCGAAGGGAGCTGATGGAGCGAATGGAGCCGATGGAGCAAACGGGGCCGATGGAGCAGTTGGACACGACGGAGCGGTCGGAGCCGATAGAGCGCACGGAGCAGATGGAGCAAATGAAGCTGACAAAGCACATGGAGCTGACGGAGCAGTCGGACACGACGGAGCGGTCGGAGCTGATGGAGCGCACGGAGCCGATGGAGCGAACGGAGCCAATGAAGCGAACGGAGCCGATGGAGCCAACGGAGCCGATGGGCCGAACGAGGCCGATGGAACTGTGGGAGACGATGGAGCGCGCGGAGGAGATGAAGCAAATGGAGCAAACGGAGCCGATGGAGCAGTTGGACACAATGGAGCGGTCGGAGTCGATGAAACAGACGATGAGAACGAAGCGGTCGGAAACTATGGAGCCGACAGAGCGACGGCGACACTCTTGGGCTAGAGGGAAGAGGCGGAACAGGGGGTGTTTGCTTTGGATGGTGCGGAGCGATCAGTGGTACATCATCGGAAATATTCGTTTCACCAGATCATTCTGAATTTTCACTCATCTTTTCTAAAAAGAAAAATACATACGAGTATCATTTCAATATACGTGTGAAGTTAAATTCGATTATATGCCTCAGAATGTCACTGAGTTCCAAAACTTTTTCTATGAGACAGTCGGAAACAATAATGTAATCTCAGTGATTCTTTGTTTTTGTGAATATCTCCGACCTCTCCAGGATATTTTGTAAACTAACTTCTGATTCCGATTCAGCTTCCCAAAAAACATATATAACCTTAGAGAAACCGACTACTCGAATTTTTGTTCACGTGGAAATACCATTTTAGTGGACTAGTGTTTCTCATTTTTGAAATGTTTTCTTGTTGATAAGCAATTTTCAGATCAACAAATTCTGAGGAAATTGAACTGCAAAAATATACAATGTCATACTACTAACTATCAAGAAAACGCGTAAGAAAATTGAAATGAATGAATGAATATAAATTTATACAAATAACAATTATTGTCATTCAATCACAATATAATAATAATGATAATAATAATAATAATAATAATAATAATAATAATGGGTCTTTATTTTCATCTAAATCATTAATACAACTACATATTTTAAATGGGGCGACATTCAACATCGTTGCTCTTCCATGCAACCCCGAAAAGTACCATTTCAAATTGCTGTCGTAAATGTTAAACTAGACAAAAAAATAGGCATTAAAATTAGAGGCTACAAATACTAAATCACCGTACAAAATATCGTGGCAATACAGAGCAGAACTTAGCTGTCAGCTAATATTTTCTAAGGTTCACAGGCTCATGTAACCTAGCAACTTCATAAAAGAGTGCGCACCTCAACTAGGGGGGATTTGACTTGTCTCTTAAAGGAGATTATATTTGGAGCATCTTTTATCGAACTTGGTAACTCATTGAATATTTTTGTGGCAATATATGTAAATGATCTCTGGTACTGAGCTATTCTATGATTCGGTATTACATATAAATCATTATTTCTGGTTGATCTGTCGTGTACATTTCTTCCCCTGATTAATTTATTATGCAAGTATTGCGGGATTTTATATTTATTAATTTTGTAAATTAAAGAGCAGATATGGAGAATGAACCGTTCATTCCTCAAGGGTCCATTCTTGGCCCTCTTTTATTCTTGATATATACAGCAGACATTTATGATAAAATAAAATTTTCAAATCTTCAAACTTATGCAGACGACACACAACTTGTGCATCATTTTGACCCCTCTGTTGCAATTGTTACCTGTGAGGAAATAAATTGCGATTTACAAGCCATCAGTCAATATTCTGTTCAGCATAATTTAACATTGAATTCCACCAAAAGTATAGCTATCTTATTTTGTTCTGAAGGAGTGAGAGAACAGCTCAAACAAAGTATACAATTGCACATAGGGGATACATCTTTAGAATACTCGACATCATCGAAAAATCTAGGACTCATCATTGATGAAAAATTAAGATTTGTCGAACATGTCAAGACATTAATACAGCGCTCATATGCACGATTAAGATTGCTCTTTGCAAACAAGAGCATCATGAGTTTAAATCTGAGAAAACAATTATGTGAGTGTCTCATACTGTCAATTTTCCAGCATTGTAACATCGTTTATTTTCCCTGTTTAGAATAAAGAACCATTTACAGAATCCAGAAAATTCAAAATACATGTTGTCGACTCATTTTCAATTTGAGAAAATATGATCATGTGTCCCATAAACTCAGGGAACTTCAGTGGTTAGATATGAGCAATTCCTCAAAATATTATTTCTTTAATTTCATTCACAAGTTGCTTAAGGATCAAACTCCAGCTTATCTTAGAGAAAAACTCATTTTCAGACAAAATGTCCACAATATAAATATTAGACATCAGCTAAAATTAACAATGCCTCATCATACCACGTCTCTGTTTGAAAGAAGCTTCACATACAACTCGGTTATACTGTATAATTCATTACCAATAGAATTCAAACAATCACCATCGACGCAATTCCGTAAAAAAATTAAGAGCAATTTGTTGAATCATACTTTACATGTGAGACAATAAGTGAAAATGTAGATGTCAAGCTAGATTTAGGTTTTTAGGATTAGTATTAGGATTAGGTTATAAGTCGAGCACAGGTTAAGTGTAAGAATAGCTTCCTAGCTAAACTTCGCCTGATGCACATACCACCTATGCCTCATGTTACTATGTAATATTCTATTGAGGAAATAAAGACGGATTATTATTAATATTATTATTATTATTATTTAAATTTAACCAATTATATTCAGCAAACTGTGAACTGATGTGATCGTATTGTTACGATTTTACTCTGGGTCCGTAATAATTTAACACTCGGTAGAACACTTGAAACGATTTATTTTGTACACTACTATACAATAATAACAATACTCGTACTAAACACTTCCGATTCACAACACTTCTTCGATCGTTATTATAACGCTTCCAAATAAAGACTTTTCTTCCTGTCCCTAACAACAACTATTTATACTACCTAATAAAACGTCTAGATTCCACTCGAAATATCGTGAACAGGTCGATAATCTTCTCGAGTCATCTCAATAGCCGTCGATTTCTATTCCAAGAAATACGGTTTATTTACTTCCGTATAGCTGGGATCGATTGCCAGGGTCGTAACATTTACTTCCTTCTTCAAATTTGATCGTCCCGATCAAAAACAGAACTCTCCTCACCATGATAGCGCTTCAGTCTTTCAAGATGAACGACTTTCATCTTTGTCCTAGGGCTGCGTTGGATTCTGTAGACCACATCGTTGATCCTTTTCAACACCGTATACGGTCCTTCCCAAGATGGTGTTAATTTGGGTGATACGCCTTTCTTCCGTCGAGGATTATACAGCCAAACTTGATCTCCTTCAAAGAATCCCTCTGAATTGGCTTTGAGATCGTACCGTGCCTTCATTTTGTCACTTGCTAATTTCAATCTTTTCCGAGCAGTCTCATGAGTTTTCATCAAGCCATTCCGGAGCTCATCTGCGTAGTCTTGTACTTCCTTTTCTTCAACACTTGGTGAACCGAACACCAAGTCACAAGGTAAGCGGAGTTCTCTTCCAAATTAAGACTATACTAGCTGGAGTTAGCTTGGTTGAATCATGGACAGCTGCTCTATACGCCATCAGGAATAAGGGAAGATGCCTGTCCCAGTCCCTCTGATGCTCTTCGACTACTTTGGAAAGATGTTCTTCCATAGTTCGGTTGAATCTTTCGACCATGCCATCGGATTGTGGATGTAGTGGAGTTGTTCTCGTCTTACTGATTCCCATTAGATCACAGACCTTTTTGAATAAGTTCGACTCAAAATTTCTCCCTTGATCAGAATGTAACTCCATTGGTACTCCGAACCGTGAAAACATGTTGTCGACCAATATCCTGGCAACTGTGGAGGCTTCTTGGTTTGGCATGCCGTATGCTTCTACCCACTTACTGAAGTAGTCCATAGCAACCAAGATGTATTTATTTCCATCATCGGTCAAAGGGAATGGTCCGGCTACATCGATGGCGATCCTTTCAAACGGTGCACCCACATTGTATTGCTTCATTCCAGCTCTTGATCTCGTTCTGGGGCCTTTACGGCATACAGGACATCTTCTACACCAACTTTCCACGTCGTCACGACATTGAACCCAGTAAAATCTTTCTCGAATTTTACTCAATGTCTTGTTAACTCCAAAATGTCCACCAGATTTTCCGCCATGGACTTCTTCCAGAACTTCATTAACTCTGATGTGGGGCACAACCAGCTGAGAAATTGTTGATCTACCGTCAGCTGATTCCCAAACTCGCTTCAATAATCCATTCTCCACAACTAGTGAGTCCCATTGTGCCCACATCGCCTTGAAAGCAGGCCCTCTATCCGAGATATCCTTCCATGTCGGTCTTTCTGATCCTCTTTCTTTCCAACGTAGAAAATCGGCGATATTCGGATCGTTCTCCTGATCTCGTCTCATGTGTGCTGCTGTCCACTTATCATCGGTCACAAGTCTGGTTTTTCTAACATCAGCGGTTCCTTCTCGATGTTCAATGCGCAGACAATGCTTACAGGTTTCCGAACAAGGTCTTCTGGACATGGCATCTGCATTCTGGTGTAGTTTTCCTGGGCGATGCTTAATCTTGAAGTGATACTGGTTCAGCTTTTCCAGCCATCTTGCTATTTGACCTTCAGGATTCTTCATCTCCATCAGCCACCTCAAAGCTGCATGATCCGTCCTAATGAGAAATTCTCTCCCGTATAAGTATTTGTGGAAATGGTCAACAGCCTTAACAATTGCCAGCAGTTCTTTCCTGGTGACACAATAATTCCTTTCCGGTTTGGCCATCACTTTGCTGTAGTATTCTATAACCTTTTCTTGACCATCCTGTACTTGTGATAGCACGGCTCCAATTCCGATGTTACTCGCGTCTGTGTCCAAAATAAACAAGCCTCTCTCTTGTGGGAACCCCAAAATAGGACTAGAACAGAGGCCAGCCTTCAATTTCTTGAAGGATTTCTCACATTCTACAGACCAGTTGAAGTTGACTCGTTCTTCTGTCAATCTATGGAGTGGTGCCGCAATATCAGCAAATCCTTCCACAAAACGGCGGTAGTAAGTGCACAATCCTAAGAAACTTCTAACTTCATGTTTGTCCTTCGGTCTTGGCCAGTCTCGAATGGCTTGAATCTTTGTCTCGTCAGTTTGTATTCCTTCTGACGTTACCGTGTGGCCCAAGAAATCTACTCGTTTCTGGAATAGTGAACATTTCTTCAGGTTCAGTTTGAGGTTGGCATTCCTGAATCGCTGGAACACTTCCCGTAAGTTCTTCAGGTGTTCTTCGAAATTCTTTCCCATGACCAAAACATCGTCCAGATATACCAGGCAAGTTTTCCAAGTGAGTCCACGCAGTACCAATTCCAT